GTAACACATCCCTACCCGGTTATTTTGTCTGAATAATTTGACGGCCTCTTCAAACCAAACACAAACCATAATATCCTCTCATCTCGTTCTCAAACGCACCACCACACTCTGATGTCGTCCACGACTCTTCCTCTCTTAACCCCTCTTGACCTCTCACTTAACCTGATAATGAATACAAAGAAGTACAAAAAGAGATTCGTAGGCCACCATCTATCTACACCTCATATATGCTATAGGCCTACAACCGTAAATCACAAACACCACTCTGTTTGGAACTCCCTCTTCACTACCTACCGAAAACCATTTATCTCATCTGACAATCACACCACAGAGAAACCATTCATAACTTGAGCTTGGGCTTTCAAAATCAGTGCTTATACGAGGGGAATCACATGTGCTCATTTAGGGTTTTAGTGTAAGTTTGATTTAGGGTTCATGTTTGAGTTTGTATGGCTTAACATGTTTGAACAAATTATATTTTGATTTTTAGGAAGTGAACAATGATTATGCGATAACAACAATCTATTTGTTTGTATCTATGCATCTATTGTGGTGTTGGTGGTGTTGCTTTGGACATCGGTGGACTACGGTGGTTCCAATGAATCAAATGCTTATTTAAACACAATGAAAAACTTGATTTTGATAGAAGTTCAAAATCCAGGTTCAAAATCGACACCTAATCAGAGAATAAAGCCAAAGATAGGAAAAAGGTGCTCGATTGGACCATCGTCCTCACCAGCGTTTGTTCGTGGAAGGTGGGACACGGTTGTTCGGCTTTACGATGTGTGTCTATACATAAAGACTATGTTATATATTTAATATAATATGTATTACATTATGTTTAAAGGAAAATGAGATAGAAATGAGAAAAGACCAAACGTGCCTTACTTAACGAAAGGAATTGATAGAAGTTAGTAGAACATAAGGGACCAAAACCGAGCTAAAATGCATACCATAGATGGTTTCTTGCAATAAAATATTTGTAGGGATCCAAGTCGAAAAAACAACAAACAACAAGGACCAAAATGCAATTTACTCTTTTAAAAAAGAACTTTATTTGTAATAAAATATAATTATTATAAAACAAAAATACAAATGTTTCTTCAAACACATGAATTCATATAAAACTTTATATAACTTTTGGGTGAAAAAATAAATGTAAAAAAGCCATGAAAAAGTTGAACGCTATTATGGAAGTATTCATTAAAAAATGAACTTTCTGCGGTTACAAGTTGTATTTGAGAGCTTTTTCAACATTTTGACCATTTTTCCAATATTTATTTTAATTTTTTAATTCTTTAAATTAATTTTAATAACATATTAAATTTTTTAATTTGAACATAAGTTTGAAAATATATATGAGTAAATTACATTTTTTATTCATGCGGTTGTCATTTATTATCAAGTTTGGTACAAAAAAGTGAATGAGGTAATTAAAAAAGTTTAAACAAGTTCATAGGTGAAATTAAAATTTTCATTAGGTGAAATGATTAAGAGTTTGTTTGTTTACCTCTTAATAATTTTATTAAGAGACAATCTCTGAATCGTTAGAGATGAATCTTGTTTGACAAAAAAAGTCTACATTTTAATGGTTCTAAAACCCTCTAAATGATTTTGTATTTTGGGCGTCTGTTAACCATTCAACACCCTAATTTTATTCTAAATAATTACCAAATAATTTTATTATAAGAATCTCTTAATCATTCTGAACACTTAATCATTATGTATCAAACCATTCAGAAACTGACAAACAACATAAATAAATAAAATAATTAATGAATGTCATATTTAAGAAAAGTAATAATTAATTAAAAAAAATATGTTTAAGAATTATGATATCATTAAATGAAAAAGACGAAAATACGATTGATTAATAAAATGTGTACTATTTATTTGGTTACCAAAAAAGTATATACGAGTTAAATCATATCAGAATCACAAAAAAGTTAGAGTAAACTACAAATTTAGTTCCTGTGGTTTGTTATTTGTAACACTTTTAGTCCCTACAGTTTTAAAATTACAAAATCGTTGATATCACAATCAGATTTGGAACTCCAGCAATGAAAGCTTTTCTCCTCTCCGATTAACCAACCGAAGACCTTTACACAAGAAAGAATCGATGAAATTTTCAAGCACCGGTGGCCCCTTCTTCTCCGGCTTCCCAACCCCTCCTTTTTAGCCTCTCTTCTCTGTACATCACCGACATCCATCGACGGAGGTCGAGATCGAAACCCTTGGCTACCGGAGCTGGAAAATTAAAACACATAGTGCCGGAGCTCGAAAGTTAAGCATTGGGTCGATGGATTTTCTTTATTTCTCCCCCCTTCTTAACCAGTCACAGCCCTATCTAGCCAACATCTTCTTCTCCGAAGTTGTATGCAACACCACCTAGTACCCACATCGTATCTATGTTGAAATACAGGACGAAAAATACTAGGGGCAGCGACGACTACTTGATTTTCCCTCCGACGGAATTTTTATCACGGTGGTTTTGGTATTGTTCACCGTGGGTTTTTGGTTTTGTTCACAGAGATGGAGTTCATGACTTCAAGGGCTTAGATTTGAGGTTTATATTTTGATTTTGGTTTATAGGCATGGATTTGGGTTTTGAGATATAGACCGGAAGTTCGTCGGAGAAGATGACCGGAGGTTTGAGCGGTGGGGGAAGGGGTTGATGGTTTCCAAAAAAAAAAATGTTAAGGGCTACGACAGATGGTATAAATTTAGTGGATTGTTTTATAAAAGAATTTTTATTTTTAATAGAAAATGAGACAAAACTTAAAAAGACTAAAATGCCCTTCAGTTAACGGTTACATGTAAACGGCCATTAGAAGAAAGGACCAAATCCGATCGTTTTTGCGTACCACAATGGAAAAACTGTATATATAAACTGTAGGGACCAAAAATGTTATAAATAATGAATTACAGGGACCAAATTTATTGTTTACCCAAAAAGTTATAAACCTTTGAGAATCGATTTAAAAATAGTTTTTTATATGATTTTTCTTCAAAAATTTAAAATATTGCTTCACATATGTTTGTTTCATAATATAATAGTTTCACCATGTGAATATCTTTTTACATGTATTTTTCATTTCACTAAGCGAATTTTTTTTCACATGTAAGTTTTTCATAAGGTGAACACACTTGTGTAAAACAATCAGTGTTCAAAATGGTGCATATCGTAAGAAGCATTTCTGTAAGGAGTGCTCAGCTAAGGTGCGCGTTTTTTGTAAGATATGATTTTTTTCAATTTTTTTTATTTTTTATTTTTACACTTTTAACTTTAGATTTACACTTTTTTATAGATTCATCTAATCACATCATCACAATTTCACGAATGCATAAACGTAACAGATTCACGATTAAAACGAAGTTATAAAATTACTTGTATAAGTTTTATTTTAAATATTTAATCAAAAACTATTTTTATAATAATTACCTATATGATTTTTTTCTCTTCTAATATTAATGTATATTTTTTAATATTATTATCTGATTAGATAATATATAAAAACATATATGTAAATATATAATTCTAAATGACATACAAATCTATCGTCTTATGTCACGTCTTGAAAAATATTGTGTCATCGTCGTGACGTGTAAGGCTTGACCTCCACGTCGTGCCTAACACTATTTGAACATTGAAAATAATATTTTAAATCATAGTTTTGATGAAACAAAATCATGTAAAAAATATTTTTATATTGATGCTCACATTTGATTATAGTTCTCTCTCTCTCTCTCTGTGTATGATGGTTTTATGTTTTAAATTAGATCTTCTTGAAATGCAAAATTTTGTGTATTAAAACATTATATTTCATAAGGTGTTCACAATAAAGGTCATGTTTGACAAATATAAGTCAACTTATTTTTTGAGTTTATTTTAAAAGTCATTTGAATGGACAAAAAATATCTTATAAACTAGTTTATTAAAGCATTACTTGAAATAACGTTCCAGTATGTTTCATGAGTTTTATACCACTTTCTTTCGGTTATACTTTTGATTAATATTAATTATTATTAATTTCAAATTATTAACTAATTTTAATTGTAAAT